TCTTGACTCCATTGCTTTCCTGGTGAGTTCTCCTTCAACCTCAAGGTCGGGGCATTGGTGCCACCTCCTCCAGGATACCTTTCCCTACCCCTCTCCCAGGAGCTAGAATCCTGGCCTCTGCTCTCACACACCAGCATGTTCTTTGACATCAGATTCCCTGTTCCCTGTTGTGGGTACTGCCTTATTTACTCCCTCGAGGTGAAGCCCACAGAACAATGGCCATTTTAAAGAGAACAGTTCCATGGCATTTAGTGCATTCACAATATGGTGCCACCACCACCTCTGTTAAGTTCCCCCCAATTTTTATCACCCTAAAAGGAAACCTATACTCATGAAACAGTTGCTTCCCATTCCCCCCCTCCTCTCCCCCAGCTTCTGGCAGCCACCCATCTGCTTTCTGTCTCTAGATTTCCCTATCCTGGACCCTTCATAAATGGGATCACACACAATGTGGCTTTTCATGTGTGGTTTCTGTCACTTAACATAATATGTTTGAGGTGTATCCCAGTTGTAGCACGCGTCAGCACCTCGTTCTTTCTTATGGCAGAATAATATCCCATTGTAGCGACATGTCACATTTGGTGTATCCGTCTGACAGATCAATGGACATTGGGGTGTTTCTACCTTTTGCCTGGTGTGCCCAAGGCTGCTGGGAACATTGACATCCAAGCATTTGAATTCACTTCCTTCGGGTCAATACGGGAGTGGAATTGTAGTGCGTGTTCATTTCATTGTCAGTCTCTGCGCCAGATTGGGAGCATCTTGAGGACGGGAAGAGGCACGCACCCAACACCAGGGCGGGCACAGCGAGCGCCAGGAGCAAATTGGATGAGTCCTGGGCATCCAGAATAGATGTCTTTGTCCTCCTCAGTCATCTGCCCATTAGTCTGCATCATCCAGGCTCCATGCCGATGGCATGACTCATTTTATCTCACTCACTGCCATATTTGCTCTTGTCCATTGTCACCTCCTTATCCTTATCCGACTGCAGTAGTCCCCCAGCATTTTCCCCCAGCACCAGTGCCCACTTTTTTCCCACCACTTTTTTCCCATGAGCACTACCACTCATATACTATAGACAATATTTTTTATATGGCACCTAATGGATAATATATATGCCATTTATTTGTTCATTCCCCTTTTACTCTGTTTCCCCACTAAGAACATGTGCCCTGCAAGGATAGGGACCTTGGTCTTTATTTGTATTCATTGCTCTATCCTGATGCCTGGAACAGTGCCTGGTACATGAGAGGCATCGAAACATTTGTGAAATACTCAGATGGATGAATGAATGCATTTCTTCTTCACTGTATCCCCCAAGGGAACCATGATCATTCTCATTTTACAGACCCCAAGACTGAGGCTCAGAGAAGTCAAGGAACTTACCTGAGGTCACAGATCCCTATCAAGGGTGAAATCAGGGTTGTAAGCCAGATCTCCCAGAGTCCCAATCCCATATTTTTTCCCAGTTCCCACGGGATAGGGGCAACAGCTATAATTATATATTGCTTTTTAATATAAATATATATATTTTATATAATTTTTATATAAATGTATAAACATATCTATAGCAACATATATAATTATATTTGTTGCTACATATAATATATAATTATAGCAATAATCTATATTTGCTATCATATAATTATAGCAATAAATATATTTGCTATAATAATATAGCAAAAATACATATATATATATATATATATATATATATATATATAATTATAGCAATAATGCCTACAATACTTTCCTGTGGCCTTAGGGTGCAGGATATGATGAATGACTTAAAAAATAGTTTTAGTCCCTTAAACATGTCTTAGGTTCGTTTAACCATGAGTTTGTTTTATTCCGTGAGCAAATGCACCAATCCAAAGCTTGCTGGGAGATGGAGAAGCTGATCTGGGCCGGATTCTTTCTGCCCCCAGCTCGCAGAGCTCTCAGCGCCCCCGGGCGGTAGCTTCTGGGAAGTGCGCTGGGTGATGGCTGCACCTGGGGCCCGTACACTTCTCAGCACGAGCGCACATTCTTTAAACGGGAGATAGTGCCTTATCACCACGGTGTTGAGAGTCCCAATATGCACAGCCTGCTGCCGTGTGTCAGGTGCTGGGCTAAGTAAGCACATCACTGGGGCTGTCTTAAGCATATCACTGGGGCTGTCACAATTCCCCTCATTCCGTTCCCCAGAGGCATGTCCCATTGTTGTCCCATTTCACAGGTGATAAAGCTGACTCAGAGAGGTCAGACAAGTGCCCAAGGCCACACAGCCAGTAAGTGGGTAGCCAGACAGAGGGCCAAGTCATGAGACTCAAGAGCTCGCTCATAGTCACAGGGCTAATAGTATGTTTGTCGATATTTAGAGCTTTATATACCACCATAGTGATGGTGACTTTGGTAGAATGTTCTGGCAAAGGCTGGGAGAAGGGAAAAGGGAGACCCGTGTCAGAAATGAGCCCTCGTTCCAGTTTCTGTTCCCATGTGGCTCATCCATGATGGCCTGGGGACCTCAGAAAAGTCCCGGGCCTCTGTCTCAGCTGCCCCTGGGGCCCCGGTTGTGGAGGTGGCCCAGGCCCTGGGTTTGAACCCCAGCTGCCTGTCCCCCTCTCTGGTGTGACCTTGGGTACATCTTCATTTCTGTGCTTCTATGTCCTTACCTACAAAGTAGAGACCAAAATGGCCCTTTGCACACAGAGTCATAAAAATGAGAGAAGATGTAAAGCAATCCGAATGTAACAAATGAAGAAAGCAGATCACAAGTCATTCAATAAGATCTTATGGCATTTCTTGAAAAAAGATGCACAGAAAACCATCTGGCAGGCTCCACAGCCAAACATTAACAGGGATGGTGGTTATAGGCTGTGGACTAACATTGCCTTTTTCCTTATCCGAGTTTTCTAATTTTTCTATAATGAATATATAATAACCAAATGAGTAGTTTTAATTAAAAATGGGGCAGTGAGTCAGTGTTCATGAAAGCACTTTGTAAACTGTCAGATGTTCTATAAATTAGCTCTTGTTATGGTCCTTATAGTAATTATTATGGTTATTGCTAGCCGGTCGCGAGCTGGAATTCGTTTCTGCCCCTCGTCGCTTCCTTGGCCCTTGATGGGAGGACCCTCGACAGCCTTCTGCCAGGTCCTGCTTTGTCAGGCAGCGATCCCCACTGACTTCCCTCCGTCTTTGCGGCCACCACGCACGTGGGGCCAAGCATCATCTCGCGCCAGGAGCCCTGCAGAACCTTCCACGGACTCTGCTTGTCCACGCAAGATCTTTGCGAAAGGAACTTCATATCAGAACTCCCATTAGCTTCCCACTGACCTTGGCATTAAAACTACACTGCGTTTGGCCCGTGGTCCTGGTGGCCTGTCCCTTCCGCCTCTCCTTGAGCCATTCACCCCATTGTCACCACACCTTGGGCACACTGCCTCCGAGGAGCCACCCTTAAAAGGGACCTAAGAAAGTGCCTACCCTAACTTAGATGTGTTTGGAGCCTGTCCACTTGGTGTTATTTGACACTTATGGTTTTTTTTTTTTTTAAGATTTTATTTTATTTATTTGATAGAGAAAGAGATCACAAACAGGCAGAGCAGCAGGCAGAGAGAGAGGGGGAAGCAGGCTCCCAGCTGAGCAGAGAGCCCAATGCGGGGCTCGATCCCAGGACCCTGAGATCATGACCTGACCCGAAGGCAGAGGCTTAACCCACTGAGCCACCCAGGCGCCCCGACCCTTATGCTTTTATATCTCTTTGTATCTCTTAGCACGGAGTCTGTGTATGTAGACCACATACACATGCCATTCCAGCATGGCAAAGGAGTGAAGATGTTCATGTACAATGAGTTTTTTAATTTTTATTTTAATTTTTTTGGTTTAACTTATATCGGGGCTGAAAACCCCAGCTTGCATTCAGACAGTGGGGATTTTTTTAAAAAGATTTTATTTATTTATTTGACACAGAGAGAGAGAAAGAGCACAAGTAGGCAGAGCGGCAGGCAGAGGGAGAGGGTGAGGCAGGCTCTCTGCCGAGCAAGGAGCCTGACATGGGGCTCGATCCCAGGATCCTGGGATCATGACCTGAGCTAAAGGCAGCCGCTTAACTGACTGATCCACTCGGGTGCCCCGACAGTGGGGATTTAAAAAAAAAAAAAAAAGATTTAATTTTTTATTTGAGAGAGAGAGAGAGAGAGAGAGAGAGCACAGGGTGGGAGGCAGAAGGAGCAGCGGGCTCCCTGCTGAGCAGGGAGTCCAGACTGAGCTTCCATTTTTTCCCCTAATAAACTGTTGCAAGACTTTAAAAAAAAAAAAAAAAAAGAAAGAAAGAGCCCCTGAGTGCCTGGGTGGCTCGGTCATTAAGAGTTTGCCTTCTGCTCAGGTCATGATCCCAGGGTCCTGGGATCGAGCCCCCATATCAAGCCCCTGCTCAGTGTGAAGCCTGCTTGTGTTCCCTCTCTTGCTGTCTCTCTGTCAAATAAATTTTAAAAATCTTTAAAAAAAAAGATCCCCTTCCTGTCTATATGTTTTTTTCCTCGTCCTCTGCCTCCCTTGCCCCACACCTGTCATGCTCTGTCCTTGGCTCTTAGTGATCCAGTCCCCTTCTTGTCCTCGATGCCAGCTTCGATGTCATTTCCTTAGGAGGCTGCGCACTCTACCTAAAGTCGGCCCTGCCCTCAATGCTTTTATTTCCAATTTTTTCCAGCTGAAACTTTTATGGAGCTAATCGCAGACTGACATGCCGTCCTAAGAAATAATACAGAGTGATCCTGTTAACCGTCTGTTCAGGCTGTTCTAACAAATACCAGAGACTGGGGGGCTTGGACAACAGGCGTGCTCTTGAGGCGCATAAGGCATAAAGTGCACACACAGGGGTGTCTGTGGGGTGTGATGTGCAGACGCTGTAAGGAGAGTCCCTGTAACGCGCCTATACCGCAAGGTGCCTAAGGTGTAACTTACCAGGCTTGTCTCCCGGCTTATCTGCTGTCTCTCTGCTCCTTGTTCCAACTCAGGAGGCAACCTTTCCAAACAAGACTGGACCATCCAGTGGCCCACCACGGAAACCGGGAAGGAGAACAATCCCGTGTGCCCCCCGGAGCCCACCCCGTGGATCCGCACCCACCTCTCCCAGAGCCCCAGGGTCCAGACCAAGTGCGTCCAGCACTACTGTCACGCCAGCCCCTCGCCCGGGGCCCCCGTGTACACCCACGTGGACAGGCTCACCGTGGACGCCTACCCGGGCCTGTGCCCGCCACCGCCGCTGGAGTCAGGCCACCGTTCCCTGCCCCCGTCTCCCCGGCAGCGGCACGCGGTGCGCACGCCGCCGCGCACGCCCAACATCGTCACCACCGTGACCCCGCCCGGCACACCGCCCACGAGGAGGAAGAGCAAGCTGAAGCCCCCGGGGACCCCGCCGCCCTCCTCGCGGAAGCTGATCCACTTGATCCCGGGTTTCACGGCCCTGCATCGAAGCAAGTCCCACGAGTTCCAGCTGGGTCACCGTGTGGAGGAGGCCCACACGCCCAAGTAAGTGTGTTTGGTGGGGGCCCGGGAGGCCGCGGAGCCCTGGGGGCTGCCAGGGGCGGCTTCATGGCCCCCGGACTACCCCGCTCTAGGGGAACCTCGAAAGCACTTGTGCTTTTTTTCTTTCTTCGGTTGAACAGAAGGTGGCTTTTCACCGACAGCGCATGAAAAAAATGAATAGCACGTTCCGGAAATGACCCTTTTTAAGCTAGGGAATGTTCTAGAAATGACCCTTTTAAGCAAGGGATTCTCTAAAGCAAGAGTCAGTAAAGCATCCTCGTGGGGCCAAATCTGCACTTGTGGCAACGCAGTCGGGTTCATCCCTGTGTGCATTGTCTGTGGCTGCTTTCCTGCCGCCCGGATGAGTTGGGTATGACCCGCAAAGCTGGAAATGTTTGCCGTCAGGCCTTGGATGGGGAAAGCTGGCCAGCTCCGGCAGGCTCTTCGCCAGCACTGCCCCTGGACAGGAGGTGTGAGCTGCATACCTAACCTTACATTTTCTAGTATTGCGTTAAAGAGAGTGAAAAGAAACAAGTGATCTTTTGATAATAGGTGTCATTTAATGGAATGTGGCAAAATATTACCATTGCAACATAGAATTGATATAAAATATTAACACTGAAATAGTTTGCATTTTTTTCCCTATGCAGTCTTCAGAACCCAGTGTGTATATTAGACCTCCGGCTCCTATCAGTTCAGACTCCCTGCATTTTAAGTGTGCAATGGCCCCGGGGCCGGGGGGGGGGGCAAGGGGCTGTTATATGAGCAGCACGTGTGGATCCTTCTAGTGCTTATCATGAAGAGGCATGTCTGGGTCTGCTCGGGGTTGGGGGCGGGTCAGAGAGTGGAGAACTAGACTATTAGAGCAAAGGACTTCATACAGAAGCTTACGGTGAGCCTGTAGGCGTCCGGGGGGAACATCATCAAAGTGGGGTGCAGTGTGTGACTGGCTCTGGTTTGGGGGGATCTTGCTGCCGGCAGAGGGTGACACAGTTTTCTGTAGCTACATACTGGCCGGCGGAAGGGACTCTCGGAGGCTGACAGTGCCCAGGTCTCTTCATTCTTTTGAGGTTCTCGGTGTTTTAAAAATGGAAGAAATGCTAAACAGGCTTCCCAAAGTGGGTAGCATGTTTTAAATATCTACCCTTGAACAAAATTGCCATTAAGGCATGGAACATGAAATGATGATTTAGGGGTGCCTGGGTGGCTCAGTTAGTTAAGCGTCTGTCTTTGGCTCATGTCATGATCCCAGAGTCCTGGGATCAAGCCTCGCATCGGGCTCCCTGCTTGGAGGAGAGTCTGCTTCTCTATCTGCCTTTTCCCTTGGCTTTCGTGCTCTCTCTCTCAAATAAATAAATAAAATCTTTTTAAAAACGATAATTTATAATCTTACTAGGAAACACCATAAGGAGTCTGAGTTTGGCACCTGTTGTGTGTCAGAGCCCTGGAACCCTGCTCTGGGATCCTTGCCTCTAGGATGTGGGGGAGCAGTGGGGAGAGTTCCATTGCATTTCCAGCATGTGAAGGCCCATGTGGGGGGCTGAGGCCAGCCAGAGACAGAGTGTCTGGCCCATGCTTCTGTAGGAAACAAAGGGCAGAGGCCCTGGCTGAACCTGACCTTCACTTTGGCTTCCTGTGACATTGCAAAGGCTCTCGGGGATTTTCAGACCCCCATCCCCCTAGCTGTACTCATTCAGCTTTGACTCGGGCATTTATCCAGAGCTGGCTCTCTGTCCCGGGCAAGTGTGCAGAGGGACTCAGGGGGCCTGCCCCAATCTCAGACCTTCTCCCTGCCTCCTGTCTCAAGCAAATAGAGCCCATGTGACTGTCATCTGTTACCTTGGCAACACAGTCCTAGGACCATCTAGGACTAACACCTGAGCCCTTCTGTTGCCCTCAATCACCCCCTTGGGGGGTTCAGAGGAACACCTGCCTGCAAGGGTCTTCATTGTTCGAGCCAGTGTCTCATGAGCTCTCATCACCATGTGCAAGGGGATCCCAGACACTGATTATAAATTACAACCTGTGATACACATAAAAGATATGTATACCTTACATATACATGTGTACATGTAAGTGGTTGGTTCTCGGCTGTAGGCTTGTCAGTGGGGGTGTTACGGGAAGCAAAGACATAGCCTTGGTCTCGTGAAGTCTGACATTAATCACATAACCACACATAAATATCATAAATTGTCTCAGTAATTACAAACAGCATGAGAGGTTCTAACGATGCTGTGCAGGGTACCCTCAGAGCCCCTGACCAGACCTAGCTGATCGAGTTTGAGCTGGCAGGGGGGTAAGTGGGGAAACTGGGGAGACTCTGGTCATGGAGAGCTCCCAGAAGTGGTTTAGACTGAAGGCTAAGGAGGGGTTAAGAGGGCGAACGGGTGGAAGTGGAGGGCGTGGGAAGTACTCCGGCCAAAAGGTAGAAGGGGGCACCATACATTTGAGGAATCAACAGAAGGTGGCAGTAGGCCTCGGTGGCTAAGGGACCAAGGCAGGTGTTGCAGGAGGAGACTCAAGAGTTAGCCAGGAGGCAGCACTCTTTGCAGCAGCCCCAGAGTGGAATCAGCCCAAGTATCTGCCAGTGGATAAAGGGCTAAACACAGTGTGTGCTCTCTATCCCGTGGAATATTATTCAGCTGTCAAAAGGAAAGAAATTCTGACACGAGCTTCAGTATGGATGAATCTCAAAACTGGTATGCCAAGTAGAAGAATCCAGTCACAAAGAGATCCAGTCACATATGAAGGCACTTATATGACGTACCTGGATTGACAACAACAGCAACAGCAAAGACGCAGAAAAGCTAGGGGTTGGCAACCTTTTTCTGTAGAGGGCCAGATAATGAAAGTTTCAGGTCTGGCGGGCCTTGCGGCCTGCACCTCTCCCAGCAGAGCGGAAGCAGCTATAGACAACAAGTAACTGAAAGGACATGGCGATGTGTCAAAAAAACGCCATCAGAAAAAAAAAAAAAATCAGGGCCTGGCTGAGTTTGGTGCCCCAGGCTGTCGTTCACTGGGTCAGAAGCTGTGCTGTAGAGAGTCATTCTCCCCTTAAGGCCCTGGGAAGGTCTTCAAGTTGGAAGGTACGATCACACACGATGGTCACTCACGGTCTGACGTGGTGGTTTCTTCCAACTGCACATCTCCCTCACCCGTCCTGTGCTGACCCGCAGCGGGTTGTGGGACGTGAAAAAAGGCTCTACGGACACATGATCTTTTCTCTGTGAGGATGGGGTGAAGTGAGAAAGGCTGACCTTTGGGGCTTTCTCCAGCTTTATTGACATATAATATTATATACATTTAAGGTGTGCAAGGTAATGATTTAACACAAAGTGGCATTGCAAAATGATGACCACAATAAGGCTAGCTAATATTTCTATCACCTCACATAATTTTTTTGGGGTGAGCATATTTAAGATTTATTCCCTCAGTAACTTTCAAGTACATAATACAATGTTGTTCACTATAGTCACTAGCTGTGCACTAGATCCCCAGAACTTATTCATCTTGTAACTAGAAGTTTTCATCCTTTGGCCAACATCTCCCCATTTCCCTCAGCCCCCAACCCCTAGCAACCCCCTTCTACTCCCTGTTTTTACATTTGATGTTTTTAGATTCCACATATAAGTGAGATCAAGCAGGATCTGTCTTTCTGTGTCTGACTGATTTCCCTCAGCAAAATGCCCCTCAGGGTCTATCCATGTTGTTGCAAATGGCAAGCTTTCCTTCCTTTTTATGGCTAAATAACATTCCATTGTGTGTGTACACATTTCCACTATCCATTCATCTGTTGACAGACACTTAGGTTGTTTCTATGTGTTGGCTACTATGAATAATGCTGCAATGACCAAGGGGGTACAGATGTCTCTTCAAGATGGCGGTTTCATCTCCTTTGGATATATACCCACAAGTAGAATGGCTGGATCATAGGGTAATTCTGTTTTACCTTTTTTGAGGAACCGTCCATAGTGGTTTTCTGTAGTGGTTGCACCAATATACATTCCCACCAGGGGTGTGTGAGGGTTCCCTTTTTCCCACGTCCCTACCAGAGCTCATCGTGTCTTGCCTTTTTGATAATAGCCATTCTAGTGGGAGTGAGGTGATGTCTCATCATGGTTTTGATTTGCATGACCCTGATGATGAGCGATGTTGAGCAGCTTTTCCTGGATCTGTTGGCCATTCGTGTGTCTTTGGAAAAAATGTCTATTCAGGTTCTCTGCCCATTTAAAAATCAGATGTTAATGATTATTTTTTGCTATTGAATTGTAAAAGTTTTTTATATAACTTGGAAATTTGCTATTGAGTTGTAAGAGTTTCTTTTGAGTTTCTTAAATAACTTGATAATGTCTTATCAGATTTGCAGATGTTTTCTCCCATTCTATAGGTTGCTTTTTCATTTTTTGATTTTTTTTTTTTTTTTCTGTGCAGAAGCTTCTTAGTTTGGTATCATTCCATCTGTTGATTTTTGCTTCTGTTGCTTCTGCTTTTGGTATCATATCCAAAGAAGTCACCAAGGAGCTTTTACCCTATGATTTCTTCTCAGAGTTATGGTTTCAGGACTCACATTTAAGTCTTTAATCCATCTGAGCTAATTTTTGTGAATGGTGTAAGGTCGGGATCCAGTTCCTTTCTTTTGCATGTGAATATTCAGTTTTCCCAATGCCATTTATTGAAGATTGAAGACATTATCTTTCCTCAATGAGTGTTCTTGGCTCTCTTGTCAAATATTAGTTGACCATATATATTTGGGCTTATTTCCGGGCCTTTGATTCTGATCCATCAGCCTATATCTCTATTTTTATGCCAGTACCACACTTTAAATATGAGCCTTTCCCCAGATCCCTGAAGGATTTACTTTGTCTGAATAGGGTTAAAACACCTACTTTTTCAAGACCTTCCAAATTGACTCATCTACCATCAGCTGTTTTAGGAATTGTCTATCAGGATTCAGGCCAAGTTCAGCTCTGCCCATCAGGGTTCTTCTGTCCAGTGTAGCGAGT